TGGTCAGAGGCCGAGGTGGGCAGCCCCCTGCAGGGGTGAGACAATGGGGGTCAGCCCAGCACGGTGAGGGGGCTCCCCCTGCAGCCTCCACCCACCACCACAGCCCAGCAGCGAGGGCAGCGCCCTGGCAGAGCCCTGGACTCCTCCTCAGGAGCTGCTGGGGACAAGGATGTCACCAGGACTGTCCCTGAGAGCCCCACAGTGCCCTGCGCTGTACAGCACTGTACCGCCAGCGTTGTCTCAGGGTTCCTCACCCCCCTGTCCCAAACCAAGGAATTGCTGAGTTTGGAAAAGGCCTTACCCACCGTGGTGTCCAAGCCTCCCCCAGCACTGCCCAGGCCACCACTGACCCATGGCCCAAGTGCCACATCTACAGGGCTTTAAATCCTTCCAGAAATATTGATTCCACCCCTGCCCTGGGCAGCTGTAGTGGACAGCCCTTTCCAGGAGGGTTCCCAATACCCAGCCCAAACTTCCCCTGGCCCAGCCTGAGGCCATTTCCCCTTGTCCTGTCCCTGTTCCCTGGGAGCAGAGCCCAATCCCCACCTGGCTCTGCCCTGCTGTCAGGGAGCTGTGTGGAGGAGAAAGATCCCCCCGAGCCTCCTCTCCTGCAGGCTGAGCCCCTGTCCAGCTCCCTCAGGTCCCCCTGAGCCTCCTCTCCTGCAGGCTGAGCCCCTTCCCAGCTCCCTCAGGTCCCCCTGAGCCTCCTCTCCTGCAGGCTGAGCCCCTTCCCAGCTCCCTCAGGTGCCCCTGAGCCAGCCCAGTGCAGGACATGATGCAGGAGAGACCTCCCAGCTTCCTGGGGCAGGCAAATCCCAACCAGCTCACTGCAGGGACTGACCCCCGCCGTTCCCAGGGCCGGGAAGAGCTAGGGCCAGGGCAGGTGACCCTGGCAGGTGACTCACTTGGGGACATTTATCATGTCTAAGTGCCGTTATCCTGCAGCTCCCACGCTCGCCCCAGCCAGCCCTTACGTGGAGCTCCTGGGGGGGGTCCTGGCACCTCCTC